GACCCCCGCCCTGATATCAGGGCAGTCGCGCCATGTCTTGAGCCAGGTGTCCACCGTCTGGGTCGGGTAGAGCACTCCAGGATCAGCTCCAGGGGCCCTGAGCGCCAGGACGGTGGTGAGGCATCGGCCTCGCGCCGACGAGGCACAGGCCTGTGCAAGCCTGCGCCTGCACCTCGTGAGCTGCTCGCCGAAAAGCCCGTGGACCTGGTGCCCGTAGAGGCCCGCGGGTAGTCCGCCTTGCCTCTGGAGCTTGGTCATGGCCCCGTACTGTTTCGTGACTCTCGTGAACCTTCGGATTTTGGCGCTCATGAGCTGATGTTTCTTCTCGCGCTGCACCCTGGTCGCTCGCACTCGCCTTCCACACCCGAAGTCGATGCCGAGGTAGGTGGCGTGCGTCACTGGCTTGATCACAAAGCCTGCACGACGAACCTGGCGAGCAATAGCCCGAGCATCATGCATCGATCTGCAAATGACAACTGATTTACCGACAACCTTAAGTTTCCGCTGCTGCAGCTCGCGGCACGTCGTGATGATGCCGCTGGCGAGCTCCGAGCGGATGGCCTTGCTAGACCCCTTGACTGTCTCGGACACGTCGTCGATCCATAGCCTCGCCCCCATCCTTGGGTGGGCTGTGGTCACTGTGGCCATGACGTGGTGGGTCATCATCTTGGCGAAGCGAGTTCCTGACCACAGACCTTGCACGACGTTGAGAAGCGGGCCGAACAAGGTCGACACCGCCTTGTCCTGCTCCAAGCAACGTGGTGCCACGCATTGAAGAAGTTCTAAATATAATATCACTGGTGGAAAGTGGAGCCGCAGCGCGGCTGAAACGAGGATGTCCCACGGGATGCTGTCGTAGAACGTGGCGATATCCAGCATCCCGTGGCCGTACTGCATGCCCATGGTGAAGGCAAGTTCTTCGTCAAGCGTTCGCAAGAACGCCTCCTGCAGGCATGAGTTACCTGGGAGGGCGGCGCCCCAGTGGCGAGCGCTCTCAGCCGACCAGGTCTGCACGGACGGCTCGCGCATCAATGACCAAAGTCGGCCGAGCATCGACACACGGCCGATCGCACGATCGCCAGCAGTCTATTTGGGAGTGAGTTCCCCAATTACTGCCAACGTCTGGGTCGGCCAGGCCATCGTGGTCTCGACAGCCTCCAAGACCAAGAGCAGCTCCGCCTGGCCTTCGACTGGGAGCCTCTGGTAGTCGACAGGCGTGACCATATCGATGCCCATGCCTGCCTTCGCCTCCATACGTGAAGCAGCCCTGGCGACGTCCGTCACCTCGAGCTGCGGGAGCGGCTCGTCGACCGCTCGAACTCGAATCTGTCGAAATAGTCCCCGCGCGTCCTGCACCTTGGGGGCAGAGGGTGCCCACAAATGCTGGTACTTCTGCGCCTTCGCATCCATGATGTCCTTCGGGTGGTGCACCAGCTGCTGACCCGCCACGATCTCGGTAGGAGGCAGAGGACCCTTCTTCAAAGATTTGTGAAGGATGCCGTTCGCTTCTGGTTCCACAACCCACGCACGGAAGTCGCGGGTGGCCGATAGCACCGCAAGCCGCTGGGCCCGCTGCATGATCTTCCGAGAGTTGTGCACATACGACTCCAACGCAGCAGGGTTGATCTGGCACTTCGCCTCAAGAAGACGCAACCAATTTTCCCATGGAGGGTCACGGCCCCCTCGGAGACGAGCGCCCTCGGGGTGATCTCCAGCTGCCTTCAGCGCCGCCTCCTGGTAACACTGCAACTGGTGAGTGCCGTTCCCGCGTTGGAGGTGTCGACTGACTCCTGCGATCAGCGCGTGAACCTGGGTCCACCACTGGGCTCTCTGGTCGCGGAGGTGGACTTGTCGTCGGTGAGCCGCCTGCCCGACAGGGCCCTCGACCCAGCGAGCCCCGTGCGCTCGCCGCGAGCGAGGGGGCTCCATGCCATGGTGTCTGGTGATGCTCAGCTCGACTGTGGAGATCCACGCTGCATACATTCCTGCAACAACAGTAGAGCGTGAGGCCTCGAGACGAAAAGCTACGGACTTGAGGAGGGACGGAGAAAGGGATTGAATGCAGTCCTGCCCCGAAGCAAAACCCACCTCCCGTCTGCTCTCGACCCATAACTCGCTAGGGATCTGGAAAGTGGCCCGCGCGGAGGGGGAGCTTTCAGGGGCCTGTAAAGGACTGGTCCCAGGGTCAGAAAACTGTAAACCATGCTGGTTTAAATCGGGATTTAAATATTCCCTCATCTCGGTGGGGGGGGTGGGGGGGGCTGGCACGAATTGGGGAGGGGACTATGCTGCACCATTGCTGGATCAGTCTTACGCTGCCTCTCCTGCCGACGCGAACCACTGCTGCCCGCCGAGCCTGAATCAGGAAGGATGGGGTGAGACGGGGAGGCGAGGGCATTACTCAACTCTCCATCTGCGCAAAAGTTCAACTGGTCTGCCCACGGGTCGTCCTCTTCGTCGGGCCAACAATCGAGAGATTCTTCGACCTCATCGGGAGGGGCCTGACCTACACCCTCCACTGACGACGACGGGACCCCAGGGCTGTGAAAGCAATCCTCAAACATTTCTTGAAAGCGAGACCTACGAGCCTCCAGGGCCTCTTGCTGGGCAATCGCCTGGCGGGCTCTAGACAAACTAGATTTAGAACCTGCAGTGGGCTCCCTACGGGGTCTCGGGGCCTGAGGAAGCCTGGGGGAGACCACGAGGGAGCGGGTGAGAAGCTGAAGACCAGAGCTACGCAACTGAATGGCCAGACTTTGATGGGGCTTCCAAGGGACCGATCGCACGGCTCTGATTGTTTCCAGAAACGACGAGGCCTCAGGGCTGCACACCACATAGTCTAGCAATTTGTCCCGCCCCTGACTGTTGGCACAAGTACCTGCAGGGCCGGCCGTGCGAATGATGCCGTTCAGCTTCGAGACGAACTTACTGGATGCGAGGATGTCGGGCTCCATGTTGAAATCCCCCACTATCAGCCATGGGAGCCTGACTGCCCGAAGGAGACCTCCGAGCCGTTGGAATCTGATCTTGTTGTGGCCCGTCATCAGGATATTGGGCAACGCGTATAGTACCACTACTATGATAGAATACCCAGTGAGATGCAGAACCATAGGGAGAAAACCGTCTAGGCTGGCCTGGCCCGCCTCGCGCAAGTGTCCAGCAGCCACCTTGGCCTCAGGTAAGAAGTGGGCCTGGAGGTGCTGCTGAGCCATGAAAAACTCGCCGCCCTCGTTAGCGCGCTCCTCGAACCCTGCTGCCACAGACTTGCCCGAGGGGCGCGCCGCATTGTAGTGAAGACGAAGATGTGCATCTCGTGCCTTCTTGTCCCATTCCCTGAGCTCCGACTCGTCGTGGATGTGAGTCTCTGCCCAGGCCCAGAAAGAGTATTTGCAATAATTTAATTGAAGGTATTGCCACACTTTGGGAGTGAAGGCCGTGGCATTCGCGTAGAACAATGTCGTGAAGCCCTCGGTGTGGCCCTCATCTGCTGCAGCAGATAGTCACGAGGTGGCACCCTTGCCACCGCCATTGGCCTGGGCCTTGGCAGCCGCCTTGGCCGCTGCCGCCTCGGCCTTGGCCGTGAACTTGGCCGCCGACAGCTTCTTCGCGTCTTCCTCGATCTTCTCGGACGTCGCCTTGCTCTCGTCGGTCTGGGCCGCCTCCGCCGCGGGGCTCTGGCTGGCTGCAGCCTCGCCCCCAGCAGCAGGCGGCTTGGCCTCCTGGCCAGCCGCGACCTTCGCTCCTCCATCGTCGCCCTTCCTCTTCTTCCGCATCCTGTCGTGAATGTCGCTCTTCATCTGCTTGGCCCTCTCGAGCCAGGCCGTGATCTCGTTCCCCTTGCCGCTGAGGTCCGACTTGACCCCCTTGAGTTGGATGTGAAGCGTCTCTAGGGCCGCGCGTTTCTCCTTGGAGCAGTCCCCCGCCTCGACCATGCCATCCAGCGAGCTGAACAGCGCCTCGTCCCACTCCACCGTGGACATGGCCGACGCGGCAGACGTCGGCGAAGGGGGCCCAACGCCCTCGGCCCGAGCCACTGCCTGGGCCGCCGCCTTCTCGGCCGCCGCCGCCTGCGCCAAGGCAACCGCTGCGCGAGCCTCCTTGGCCTCAGCGGCCTCGAGGCTCTGCCTCAGGCGCATCACGTTGTCCACGCACTGCGAGTGGTGGTGCTCCGCATTCTTCCAGGCGCCCTCGGCCTTGCGGAGCACCTCGGCTGGCGATGCGGCAGCCTCCGCGTCCGCCTTGGCCTGCGTGCTGATCTTCTCAATATGCTGCTTGAGCGTCGCCTGCAACGCCGCATCCTCTGTGGCCTGGGCTGCCTGCTCCAGCAAGTCAGTGACGGAGGAGCTGGAGCTGCCCTTGGCCCCGCTCCCCTTGCCGCCCCGACGCCCGCCACGGGGGGAGTGGCTGCGCGGGCGCCCGCCCCTGGCATGGTCGGGCGCTGCGGCAGGGGCTGACTCAGCCTGGACGTCATCCTCCCAGTGCACCTTGCGGCCCGCTGGCTTGTACAGAACGATGTGAGTGCCGCAGGCCGAACACTTGCCGCCCTGCTTCACGATGAGGGAGTTCCACTCGCACCTGCGGCACTGATCACAACGAGACCACAGCTGCACCATCGCTGCAAGAATCTACCTCGGTGTTAGTCACAGACTTCGGGCTGTGGCAAGGCCCGTGATCTGGGCCCCTCAAGCGCTGCGAGGAAACCCCGAGGATCAAGGGGGAGGGAGGGGGGGATAGGGGATGGGGGAGTGGGAGAGGGAGGGGGGGGGGGAGGAGGAGGAGGAGGAGGAGGAGGAGGAGGGAGGAGGCGGAGGAGGAGGAGGAGGAGGAGGAGGAGGAGGAGGAGGAGGAGGAGGAGGAGGAGGAGGACGAGGAGGAGGACGAGGAGGAGGACGAGGAGGCACAGGCGGAGGCGGAGGCGGAGGAGGAGGAGGAGGAGGAGGAGGAGGAGGATGAGGAGGAGAAGGAGGAGGATTGGGAGGACGGCGGCCCGCGGCCTGGAGAGGCCGCGCGTGGCTGCGGGCGCCGCCTCTGCTCGGCGCGGGCCCCGCGCGGGCAGGACTCGAGCAGGGCGCTGGGCCCAGTTGCGCAGGGGGGCCGTCGTCGTCGTCGTCGTCGTCGTCGTCGTCGTCGTCGTCGTCGTCGTCGTCGTCGTCGTCGTCGTCGTCGTCGTCGTCGGGAGGCCTGGGCTCGGGGGCGTTCGCGTCGCAGGGGGGGCCGGGCGGCGGGGGGCTCGTCGACCACACGCAGGAGTGCCCCTTCGCTGGGGTGACCTTTGGTGTGGGTTCGTTGGGGCCCCTGGATTCGTGACCCGGAATGCCCCCCCCGCCCCCGATCGCCACGGAGGTGAGGGCAGACTCGCCGAATGGGTGCCTCGACTGGGGGTGAGATTTTTGGGGGCGGCTCGCGCTCGAGCGTTCGCCTCGAAGGCCGCCGAAATCTCCCCCCCACCCCCAGTCCCGGCACCCTTGTGCGAGGGATTCCCCAGGGTGCCGCCGTCGGGGGTGGGGGGGGGGGCCATCTTGGGTCACCATGGATGGCTGAATACATGCTCTGCAGCCTGCGCGCTCGGGTTTACCCTCCCCGCGCCCCCCCCCCGAAAAAGCTGCGCACTGCAGGCCGCTCGTGGCTTGTGCCACTCCTGCGTGTGGCCGAGCTCGGAGGCGTCCGCGGCGAGGACCAGCGGGCGTCGCAGGGGGAGGTCGGCGGAGGAAACGGTATCGATACCGCTGCCCTTCCCTCGCTTTCCCCTCTCGGGGCCTCCTGGGAGGCACTCGTCGCCACGGCTGGATTCGCCCGAGATTCTGGTCAGAACGCGCCCCGGGAGAGGTTCGGGGAGTATCGGTGTCGGTATCTTTTGTTTCCTCCTTCTCCTTCTCCTCCCCACTCCTTCCTCCTCCTTTTCCTCTTCCTCCTCCTCCTCCTCCTCCTCTTCCTCCTCCGCCTCTTCCTCTTCCGCCTCCTCCTCCTCCTCTTTCTCCTCTTCCCCCTCCTCCTCCTCTTCCCCCTCCTCCTCCTGCGTGCCTCCAGGGTGCCCTGGGTTTCTTTGGCTTCGATGGTTCTGCCACGGAAAGCGCGACGCTCCCACACCAAACATCGAGGGACGCGCTGGGGTCGCAGGGTTGGGTTTTCGGAGGTTGATAGACCTCCTACCCTGATGCGTCGATTAGTGGATTGGTCGTTTCTGGTCTGCGAGAGGCCGTCCCGGCCGCTGCTTTTGCGGGTCCAGGTCTGTCAGTTTCGGTCTCAGGCCGGTTTCATTGAAGGGTGGTTTACGAAAGGGAGGTTTGTCCACCGCTGAGGTTTCTTGTGGGAAGGGTTCTCGTGGATTGGCCTCCGCTGTGCTCCTGCGGCCGCTCTCGGCGCCCATCGGAGGGGGGGGGGCCTGGGCGCTCTCGGCAGGGAGCGGGGCTCGGGGCCTGGGTTCCCCAGAGGGGTCCGAGTAGCTTTGAGTCGGGCCTGTCCCTCTGCAAAGGGGGAGTGCCCCAAAATCGTCAACAAATAGTCTGGGGCTGATTTTTGTGACCATGTTTGAATGAGTATGTTTCTGTGTGTCGTCGGAAATCTGCCTGTAGGGGGAAATGGTTGAGTTAAGAGTAGATGTGGTCGGAGGATCGCGCCGCAGCGCCGATGCAGCGGCGACGCGGCTCGATGCTGCGGGCCCCAATACTCTACACCACCGCCGCCTCCATTCCTCCGCCTCTCCACCCTCGTCTTCCTCGCATATCTGGCCCGGGAGAGGGAGGGGATATGAGGGAGGTGGTGGTGGTGGTGTCTACCTTGGGGCCCCGCAGATGTGGAGCCCGTGCTTCCCCGCGCCGACGTATCGCCGATGCATCGCCGACGCGGCGCGATACCTCTATTCCACGTGCCCGGACCCCATCCAGGATGCCTCCAATTAAAGGGAGCGAGACCCGCGAGGGCCCGGGTCACAAGAGGTTCACCGAATGCCCCGGGTAAGAAAGCATGCCCCCCCCCGACTTCCTCGCGTTGTGCAAACATCACGACGGGAGACGTTTCGCTACTTTCGGGTTCCAGGGGCCTTTATTGGGCCTCGGGGCCTTAAAAAAAAACGACTCAGGATGAGAAGCCGGTCCCAGGGAAGGAGTCGAGACCTCTGAGGGTCGACGCTGTCAAAAGAACACGACACTGGGGGTCTGGGCCCCCTTCACCTCCGAGAGTTGATTAACCATGGCCAAGACAGAATTTCAAGCAGTGGCCAAGCGTCCGGGCTTGCCTTTAGGCCCTCCAATGAGCGTTCTAAAAATATATTGTGGCTTACGCGACATGTTCTGAGAACCTTTTTGGCTTTGGCTGAGGCCGTCTTGTTTTTTTTACTTTTTTACATCGGATATTTCTTATAAGATCATTCGTTCTGTTCTGGGAACACATGTTGGTTCTAAGAAAATGTCGTGGCAGGCCTACAGGAACGCTGGGATGGTCGGTGCCTGCTCGAGAGTTTGTCAGGGGAAAGGGGCGGCGAGGCCGACCTTCATTATTGCCGGGGAAAGTACGAATCGAAGTTGCTAGATCATCTTATGTTGAGTAGCAACACTATCACGAGCGCGTGGTAGGGATATGGGAGGAGAGGTACGGGACAGACCTCCCAGATGGGGTCCGAGGCCTAGGCCTCCCAGATGGGGTCCGAGTAGACGGGGTCGAAGGATCGCTCCGCATCGCCGATGCATCGGCAATGCTGCTCGATGTGTAGCCCGAGTTTCTCTACGCCGATGGCGCCGATGCATCACTGGCGTCGCCGATGCCATCCTCCGACCCCATCGGCTTGGACCCCTCCTGGGAGGCCTATAAGGGGGCGGGGGCGCGAGCCAGGGGGGGGGGGCAGGGGGAGAAGCCGCGTGGCAAGAGCAGGCCGCGCTTCGCCGAATTCGATACAAGCGTCCACGGAAGGGGGCCCGATGTTTCGCGTGAACGAGACCAGGCCCTGGAGAAGAGGTAATCCTCATTTGTTTTCCCCGCTTGTGGGCCCTCTATCATCAACAAAACGATTCGGCGTGAATATGCGCCGGTCGTTGAACGTAGGTATTTTACCTGGCCCTGTTTCCCGAAGGGCGCGGAAGGTACGGAAGGTGCCAGGGTTTGGGTTGTGTCTTCGGATGTCTTCGGCTGTCTGTTGATGTCTTTGCTTGTCTTCGTACCTTGAGAAACTAGCGGTAATGTACAGAGACGCCGGTCGTTGACAGCAGGTATTTTTGGATGTACGCCGGCCTATTTCAAGAGTCGAGCGGTTGTCCTTCTTCCCTCCTCCTCAGGAGGCGGCCGGACGTCCAATCTATTTCCATTTCCTCCTACTGCGTGGTTGTACCAATGTTTACCGACCCGCGTGTGGGTGGTCTTGGGGAAAGACCAGGGCTCTAGGGCCCATCTCCCTCTGGACCCCTTTCCCTCCATGGCGAGGCGTGATTGGCCACGGTGGGGTGTGCGCGGGCGGAAGGCATGATGCCACGCTGCGCACATCGTTCGCGCCATTTCTGCATGCTTTTTTCCCCCACGATCGCATGATCTATCTTGCTCTCTCGGTGTTGTCGCCTGTCTCCTTTTCCTTCCGGTCGTCTGAGGGACTCTGGATCATGCGCACGGCGTGGGGTACCTACTACTACGCGAGGCGCTCGGGGGCAAGCGGTGAGAATGAAAGAGGAGGAAGAATAAGACGAATAATAAGAAGGAGAAACGAACAAGTAGAAGAAGGGGAGGGACATGGACAACAGCGCATCAATGACGAGCATCGTTCCGGCACGCACGATGCGGGGCAGAGAGCGTGACATTGCTCTCCTACACGGCGTCGTGGCATTGGCACTTCTCAGTGGCAGCAGGTGCCGCCTGGAAGGCGAAGGGCGCGCACCGGTCCCCCTTCCAGGGGCGCGGCGGTGCCGCCGTGTGCCAATTCTCGACGTTTCGCGCAAGCCCACCAGCCCGTCCGGAAACGATCAGGGACGTCGAGTAGAATGCAGTGGAATACAGGGACGGTTGGGTAAGACGCCGCACCCCAAGATGGGGAGGATGGAGTGTGAATCCGAGGAGTAGCACGAGAAGGAGCAGGAGGAGGAGGAGGAGGAAAATGGGGAGGGGGAGGAGGGACGAGGAAGGAAGAGGAACAGGCGGATACGGAAGATGGGCAGGAGGAGGAGGTGGAGGAGGAGGGCGGGCAGCTGGGCCAGAGACCTCTTGGATGCCTCTCGGAGTCTCTTCGGATTTCGATCGAAAGTTTTTTGGGGAGTCCTCGTGGGGCGTCCTGGGGGTCTCTGCGCAGTCCCGGAGGCCTTTTGGGAAGTCTTCGCTGCTTTTGGGGAGGCCTCTTGGAGCCGCTTGGGGGTCCCTCGGGAACTTCTTGGGGGCATCTTGGGGGCTTCTTGGGGGCCTCTTGGCATCTTGGGGGCCTTTTTGGGGCCATCTTGGGGCTCCCTTGGGAGCCTCGGGGGTCATCTTGGGGCCATCTTGAGAGAGATCGGTCAAAGGAGGGGGGCTTCTTATTTAGGGTCCCCCTAGGAGGCCAACATGTGGCCCAAATCTTTTGTAACGTCAGCGATGTTGGCCTTCTCGCCGAGGCCTCTTAGGGCGTCTTGGGTGTCTCTGAGGGGCCTCTTGGGGCCTCTTCCGATTCTCTAGGGAGTCTCCTGGTGGCCTCTTGGGAGTCTCTTAGGGGTCTCTTGGGGCCTCTTTGGGCCTCCTGGGCACCTCTTGGGGTCCTCTTTGGGTACCCTTGAGAGCCCCAAGACTCTAAAGTGAGCTGGGGGACACAGGTGAGCGGAAGCGAACGTGTGCCCGCGGCCGCGTGGCTCAGGCGGCCGGCCGCCCAGATCTGACTACACCTCAGCGCGAGGTGTACTATTTGCCATCGATGGCAAAACACTGCTTGATGGCTCGCCCCCTGCTATTGGGAAAATCGCTACTATGGTACAACAGAGCGGGAGCTGGGCTTCGCCTAAGGCGAAGCTGTTGGCTGGGTCTCCCAACCCCTTTCGGACTTGGTAGCGGAGCTGGCCTATGGTGGTCAGCTCTTGCTCTACTCCTCACCATCCACGGCACTATCTGGTGGACGACAGACGTGGTGGAACATCAGGGTGCAGTGGGTTTGCGCGGAGGAATGTGTATGACTACGCAGCATAGCAAGGACACTTGCAGTGACACCTCTGCTTTCGCGGAGGCCACGTACGTTCGTCCTACATCCCTGCGCTACTTCACTCCTGAAGTCCACCCACCTGAGCCGATTGGAAACTTCTTCGAAAACATAATGCGTGGAAACATTCGATACGATACGGTGCCGGCTCCACCCCCGCGCAGACTTACGACCACATATCGGAAGCCCCAACCGACTACATCCGACCACGACCTGCGAGGCCATTGGATTGGTGTTACTATCTTTGGGCTCGCATGGGTTGCTACTGGGTGCGCGGTTGCGCGGTTGGACATATGCGTGGTGGAGACGACACAAGAATGACCGGTCTTCATTGGGACCCAGCCGGTCAGGTACACTTTTTTGCAAATCCGTCCGCGAAGTACATGCCTGGATCAACGTGACCACAAGCAACATGACGCCCTCCCAACAAGTTGCAACCCTGCAGCGAGGCTTGGGAGGCCTCGCGCGGACCATAGCCCCATAGCCACGAGAGTCCCCCCAGCAGTTATCAGTTTTGGCGTTGACGTGGGTGGCCGCCATACCGACGGCGCCACTCTTCTGAGAAGGCCTTCTCCTTCGCACTTCCCCCCACTGCCCGCCGCCAAAGTATCGACGCGCCCAGAGATG